TAATTGGAATTTTGTTTGTTTTAGTAAGGTTTTACGGCACTCGCAACTGCATAAGGCCATATGAGCGTCAAAGGGTAGATGTCATCCGAGAAGTCCAAACGGGGAATCAGGCTTACTACATGTACTCTGCTAATCTCTCTATCTATAGCCTCAACAGCACAAAGTCTGCTTCGACTATCAAGGCACCCCGGAAATAGCAGTTCACAAGAGAGTGACAAACATACAAAAGAAGTAGAGGCAAAATGACAATAGTAAGGATGAGGAGAGAAAAAGCAGCAGTACCCCTCATGTTGTGTCGGTACAGTATGAGCGTGAGATTGATTTATAAATCAGCACTTTTATAATTCTACTGAGCATAAGAACATATTAATACCACCCCCCCCCCCCCCCCCCCCCCCCCCTTGGGAGGGCGCAAACAACACATGCCGGGCGGCCCGGGGGGGGGGGGGGGGTAATTGGAATTTGGGTTTTTATGAGCCCATTTTTACTCAGTTGCATGATCCTCTACTCTAAAGAAGTGAGAAGCGTGAACTAAAACAGCATAGGCCTAAGGTCATACGAGCGCGCGGGACACATTGAACATTTTTCAGTTGGTAGGACATTTTGAATTTTGCCCGGGTGGCGGCCGAAGCCTACTCTTATCGATTTTGGACTACCACCAAGTGATCTTTAACATGCGCAACTTGCAGACGCGACCTGCAAGACTTTTCACCCTTATCCGAGAAGGCTAGTTGTTAGATCTTACCTACCATAAGATTAAGATCAGGGGAGTGGCTGAAAGACAACAGTAAGAGGGGGCCAAGGAGTAGCAGTAGGAAGGCTACAGAAAGAGTCAGGACCCCAGAGGAGGGGGCAAAGGAGGCGAGGGGGGTGGGGGCAGAAAGTGGAGACGAAAGCAGACGAAATAATATTGTTAGTCGGGGGTATCCAGAAATCTTGACCCACACCAAAAGTGGGCATTGCCTTACCTATAGAGGTGAAGTTTGGTTTCATTGGAGTGTATATTTGTTTCATTAAAGAGAAAACCCTCCTTGTCTTTTAAAGAAATTGAACCAGGGGCAAAAACTTTACCTTCGATTTTCTCAAAACAGCACTTTTCGGGATAGCCCCCTTGTGCTTAAAATCAAAAGAGACAAATTTTCCGTTGCTATCTGGATTCGAATCCGGGTCCTTCTGAAAGAGAGGCGAACACCTTAACCTCTCGACCAGGAGAGCTCCCTGATTGCTGGGTGCACAGGAAACTGAACAAATGGGTGGCCATTGTTGGCAGAGAATGCAAACAGGAAAGGGTTAAAACAGAAAAAAAAGAAACTCCCAAGTTCCAACAAGAGAAATCCTGTTTATTTTCTTTTTCGAACACTGTAAGCTACAAGATAAGTCACAGTAAGCATGGAAAGCAACACAATATGTAAACTAAAACATTAATTTTCCTTCAACAGAATGGAATTAATTGTAGACTCTAAACAGCAAAAATCAAAATCCTTAAATGTTGCACATAGCTGATACTAGAGCTGGGCGACGAATCTAGTCGGGAACCGATTCCCAAGACTAAGGCAACGAAAGAAAAGTTCCGACTCCTTTTTACGTAAACCAGCCGTTACCAGTTACTTTAATCAGTAAAATCTTCTTTTTTTATTTTTAGAATTTATTTTTGAAAAATAAAAATTGATGCTTCGTAGAGTTCCGAAATCACGGTTATCCTAAATCTTGAAGATGTTCGGGGCCAACCAGGTAACCACCGGAAAAAATCACATCAATAGAAAATAAGTAATTGGGATCGGAGTCGATTCCTACGATTCCTAGCTTTCAATAACCGGGAATCTCGCCGCCCAGCACTAGCTGATACCTCACCCAACAATACAGAGAAAACGACAGTTCTAAACAAAAGTATAAATGCGAAGGGCGAAATAGTAACGGCTAGGTGAATGAAAGACTCTTATGAAGCCAAACTGCAAAACGACGTTTATCGGAGTCTTGCATCCACCCATCAATAGCAGTCCTCTAGCTGTAAGCTTTCACTAGCGACAATCCAGCCCTTTTCTTTCAATGAAAAGATCAATCACTATCAATCCCGTAACTTTCTTTTCCAGTCACATAGAAAAAACACAAATTATGTGGTTATTGAGCTAGAACTGAACTTTTTATTTACGTTAAAGTTTGTTACATTAAACTAGCCATTTGTATGATAAACTTAAAACTACATATGCCATGGAAAATGGCTAAAAAATTGGCCTCACGCGCTGCGAGGCAGTGTTACTGGCGGTAGGAGGTAGGCTACCAGCCATCATTATCAGGGTGCACCAGAGACGCATGTCCATGGGGATGGACCTGACCTAGGCTGTCCCTGATGCAAATGTACTGAGAAAGGCTAGGACCTGACCCATCAGTTTCACTTTCTCATCTTAGCGTTATCTTTTTTTATGAAGAGCACTTCCGCTGAGATACACAGTGTTTCGCATTTTATTAGGCTACAATTTAACATGACCCTCTCTCTCTCTCGCTCTTACTCCACTCCCCCCACCCCACCCAGAGAATTTTAATTTCGTACATTCGGTACAATGCAGTTTAGATAAGAAAACCAGGGTAGCTTTATTCACACAAAATATGAATAATCATT